AACTATTGAAAGTGTTCTAGTAATTAATTAATTTTAATAATTTTCATTTATACAAAAGAAATATAGGAATCTGAACTTTTGAAACATAATTTATAATATTTTTTACTGTTTAAATTATTTTTAGATTTTAGAATTTGGAAATGAAAACATTTTCTAGATAAACTTCATGTTAAAAAACCAAAAATGTGCAGTCTTATTATTTGAATATGTCAAGAAGGCAAAGGGAGGGTATTAGTGTGCTCTAGGACTTCATTGAAAATGAATAGTCAATGTGACCCTAAATTCTTTTACTTGTGGATATCAGAGATAAAGTTGGGAACTGGCCAGGAATGGGGAGGAAAGTCAAGTATCTCACTTTCCTCCAGAGAAAGTAGAAATTCCTGATAAAAATACAGTATTAAATATTTTCCATATCTTATACCACAATTTAAAATAAATACATTTAAATGTCATAATAAACTAGAGACATAAGTACTATAAAACAATTAAAATATTTTAAGTGAGAAAATTTGAGATGGGAGTTCAGTAGACTTCCAAAGTAAAAATATTATTCTAGTAAGAACACTTGAATAGGAGCTACTTTTATAGTTTCTAGTTTAGTGATAAGTCATAATTCCACTGGAGTTACAATATTGAATTTTTATTTGATATTGTTTGCCCTCTTACTGCCCCTTATTAAAAGCAAATTTTTATAAACTTCTGCTTCCAGGAATATAAAGTAGGTGTATTTTTCCCTATTTCTTCCTGCTAAGTACAACTTAAAAACCTAGATGTTAGATATAAAATAACCACAAGAATACTTTGAAAGGTGAAGAGAAGGTAGTAGTCTAAGACCTCAAGATTTAAGGAACAATACAGAAATAAATTCCCTTTGTTTTCTTTTCTTCCTTATATATCCCAAACATTAAAGAAGACAGCAACCTGGAAATGCCCAAGGATGTAGACAAAATAAGTTCAACAAGATCTTACTCTCTCTAGACAAAGAGCCAGGAAGAGGGGATTCTCTCACCAACAAAGGCTGAATAGAGAAGCAGACTTCTGTCTTTGCCAGGCCATAATGAGGTGTCCCAAACTCTAGCTGGGGTAGTGTTAGAGAAGGCTAAATATGATGCTGAATTTCATTCCAACCCAGCAGTAGTAAGAGACCCTCTACCTCCCAACTGGAATAATGTCAGAGGAGGCATAGTCAGAACTTTTACCACTGCTCAGCAATAACAAGGCCACTCCACGCCTTGTGGTATCATTGGAGGCCAAGTGGGAACCAGTAATGAGTGATTGCTATCCCTTCCAATCAGGTTGGGATGCTAAGCTGGGAGTGGAAACACCCACGTTTGCCCAGCATTAATGAGGCTCACCTCCCCGTCATGTCAAAGTAGGCTAAATGGGGAACCTGGACCTTTGCTCCCACCTGGAAGTGATGAGGCATCTCTCCCTCTCCCACTTCACTTTCCATAGTGGTTCCAGAGAAAGCAGCTAAAAGAGGAAGTTTATACAGCCCATAGTCTCACAACACAATACCCAAAATGTCCAGGTCTCAACAGAACATCATTCGTCATACCAAGAACCAGGAAGATATCAAACCGAATGAAAAAGAAAGACAATTAATAGATGTCAGCACCGAGATGACAGAGATGTTAGAATTATCTGTCAAATATTTAGAATAGTCATCACAGAAATCCTTCAATGAGCAATTATGAACAATTATGAACATATTTAAAACAAATGAAAAATAGAAGTCCTTAGCAAAGAAACAGAAAGTCTCAGCAAAGAAATATATACAGATGAATGGAAATTTTAGAACTAAAAATAAAATAACTGAAATGAAAAACTCAATGGGTAAGCCCAAAAGCAGAATGGAGGGAACAGAAAAAAGAAGGAGTGAGTTGAAGATAGATAATAGTAATTACTCAATTTTAACAACAAAAATAAAATATGCTGGAAAAAATGAACAAAGGTCCCTGTTCCTCAGGGGCCTGTGGAATTGTGATGGTCAGTTTTATGAGTCAAATTGGCTGGACTGTAGTATTCAGATATTTGGTCAAAATTATTTTAGATGTGTCTATGCAGGCATTTTTTAAAGGTAAGATTAACATTCAAATCAGTAGACCAAGTAAAACAGCTTATGCTCCATAATGCAGGTGGGCCTCATCCAATCAGTTGAAAGCTTTAATAGAAGAAAACTGAGCTCCCTGAAGAAAAGAGGGAATTCTTCCAGTGGACCACCTTTGAACTGGAACTGCAACTCATCTCCGGGTCTCCAGCCTACCAACCTACCCTGCTGATTTTGAACTTGCCCAACCTCCACAACTATATTGGCCAATTATTTAAAAATCTCGTATCTCCATGTATAGATAAAATTGTATATTATATATATATGTATAATTGTGTGTATGTGTATATATTATATATATATTACATATATTATATATATATAATATATATATTTGGTTCAATCATAAGAACCTCAGAGGCAGAGGAGAAAGTAAACAGGGCTGAAAGAGTGCTTACAGAAATCATGTCCGAAAACTTTACAAACTTGGCAAAAACTAAAAATAAATATATAAGACAATATATAATACAAATTGGGTACACTGTGTACTGCTTGGGTGATGGTGCACCAAAATCTCAGAAATCACCACTAAAGAACTTATTCATAAGTTCATAAATACCACCTGTTCCCCAAAAACCTATGGAAATAAAAAATTAAAATAAATAAATATATAGATTCAAGAAGCTAAATGAAACACAAACAGGGTAACCCCAACAAATTCACCTTGATACAAAAATATGTAAAGCAGCAAATACAGAAATGGGACCTTTTCTTTACAGGAAAACAAATACAAATGACAGTGTGGTTTTTTTTAACCAGATGTCATGGAGGGCATAGGAGGTGGTACAATATTTTTCAAGAGTTGAAAGAAAAGAACTGCCAACCTAGAATCTTATATCTAGTAAAAATATCTTTTAGGAATGAAGGAGAAATCAAGACATTTTCAGTTGAAAGAAAACTATCAGAACTAACAAGTGAGTTTATCAAGTTTGTAGGATACAAGATAAAGGTACATAATTGTGTTTCTATATACAAGCAATGAACATATGGAATTTGAAATTAAAAATACAATATCATTTGTAACTGTTCAAAAATAAAATTTTAAAGAATAAATACACATACAGAATTTGAATATTCTTTGAAAACTACAAAACACTGGTAAATCAAAGAAATTTCTAAACAAATGGGAGGCAATCACTCTTCATAGTTGAAAGACTCATAGTAAACATGTAAATTATCCCCAATTGATGTATAGGTTATATGCACTTTCTATTAAATCCCATTTTGTAGACATAGGCAAAATTATTCAAAAACTTATACAAGAAAGGGAAAGGTATTAGAATAACTAAAACTATTCAGAAAAAGAATAAAGTAGGAGGAATCAGTCCATTCAATTTTAAGGCTTACTGTATTGATACAGCAATCAAGATTGTGTGGTGTTTCTGGAGGGATAGACACATAACTTAGTGGAACAGAATAGAGAATTCAGAAATAGATCTACACAACTATGTCCACCTGATTTTTGGCAAAAATGCAAAAATTCAATGGAGAAACAATAGCCTTTCAACAAATAGAGCTGGAGCAAGCATTTATAAGCAAAATATAAACCTCAACCTAACTGTCACATCTTATTTAAAATTTAACTCAAAATGAATCACAGACTTAAATATAAAACATAAATCTGTAACATTTTTAGAAAAAATCATAGCAGAAAATCTTCATAATCTAGGACCACAAAGAATTCTTAGGCTTCAAAAAAAAGTATGAGCCATACTTTTGGTAATGGTATAGTAAATTACATTTCATTAAAATATAATTAAATGTAAATTTAAGTCTCTGCTCTGTGGAATATCTTGTTGAAAGAGTGGGAAGACTGGGAGAAAATATTTGCAAATTACCAGTCTGGCAAAAAACTCATATCTAGAATGTTAAAAAAACCTTCAAATCTCTGTAGTAAAAGCAAACAAACAATCCAATTAGATGATGGATAAGAGACATAAAGAGACATTTCACTGAAGAGGATATGCATATGACAAACAGGGAAGTGAAAATTAAAACCACAATGAAACATTACACCTGTCAGAATGGTTAAAATTAAAAATGTTGAAAACACCTAATGGTGACAATTATAAAGAGAAACTGAATCATATATTGTTGCTGGATATCTAAGATGGTATATCCACTCTGAAAAACAGTTTTTCAGTATTTCATTTTTTTAAAGACAGTAAACATGCCTCTATCATGGGGTCCAACAACTGCATGTTTGGGTGTTTATCTCAGAAAAATGAAACCTTATATTCCCCAAATTCTGTATATGAATTTATAGTAGCTTTATTTGTAATATTCACAAACTGGAAACAACTTAGATATTTTTTCAATGGGTGTATGGTTAAACAAATTGTGGTATATCTATATGCTGGAACAGCACTCAGCAAGGAAAAGAAACAAATTGATACATGCAACAACCTGGAGGAATATTCAGAAAATCGTACCTAGTGAAAAGGCTAATCCCAAAGGTTAATACTGTGTGATTCAATTTTTATAACATTTCTGAAGGGACAAAATTATAGAAATGGAGAGCAGATTCATGGTTTCAGGTTAAGGAGAGGTGAGGGTGGAAGGGAGATGGGATGGGTTATAAAAGGATAACTTGGATCCTCGTGATGATGGAAATTTTGGGGGCTTTGACTGCATCGTGGAAATATCCTGGCAGTGATATTTTACTACAGATTTGCAAGATGTTACTATTAGGAATGCTATGGAAAGAATTTGTCCCCTGCCAAATTCACACACTGAAACTCTAATCTCAAATGTCATGGTGTTTGGAGGTGAGACCTCTAGGATTTAATTTGGCTTAATTGAGATTGTGGGAGGAGTCCTCGTAGTGGAATTAGTGTCCTTATAAGAAGAAACACCAGACACCTGTTCTCTCTCTAACTCCTCTGTGAGGACCCAGCTAGAGAGTGTCTGTTTGCAAGCCAGGAGCAGAGCTCTCGGCAGAAACCAACCATGCTGGCATCTTCATCTTGGCATCTTCATCTTGGACTTCTAGACTTCAGACTACGGTAAAATAAATTTCTGCTGTTTAAGCTACTCAATCTATGGTGTTTTGTTATGGCAGAGTGAGCTGAATAAGACAGGGAGAAACTGGGCAAAAGGTACACCAGAACTCTCTTTATTATTTCTTACAAGTTTATGTAAATCTATAAGTATCTCAAAATCAAATGTTTAATTAAAGAGTCTATTTTTACATAAATATTTGAAAGTTATCTTTGTATGCCATAAAATAATGCTTCCCGTTCTTATGGTACTTTATATTTTTCAGGTGATTTCATACAGTATCCTTCACCAGAATTTGGTTACACATTGGGGAGCCACTGCTGGTCTTTTAGAAATGAGAAAACTGAACCCACTAGAGGTAAGCTCATGCGAATATAGCTGCACAACAAGGGACTGAGGCTCTGACATCTCTTCAGAACTTCTTCCATTTCAACAAGCCTACATTAGAAATAAAGAGATTGCCTAGCCATAGAAGAGGATGAGTTGCTTCTGTATCCCTAAGGATAACATTTGAAAATTAGTTTTGAAACTTTCTTTGAAATGTCTTAATAAGCCACAATACCCCCCATTCATATGGTACTTCACATTCAAGCTAGTGTGAACATAGTTGCATGCAAGGGTTAACTTCCAGTTTGCTATTCTAGCCCCAACCCTCCAGATGGGGCTTTCCAGTGCACACCCTCTGAATGCAGAATGCATTAAAAAAGAAAGAAAGAAAGAAACACTCTCTCCACAGAGTATGTTCAAGTATAAATATGTAAGGAATGTATGGGGGAAGGTAGTGATCCTCTGTTTGCTTTTCATTAAGAATGGATTCCTGATACTCACTGTCCCAAGCAGAAAATCAAGGCTAGTTCCTAAGCACCAACTGTCTTTCCTTTGAGGGCTTCTGCTAAGTTCGTAGAAAACATTATACAATGCAAAAATTGTAGAGCTGGCTTCATGTTTTCTCACTGCAACTCCACTCCCTGTGTTAGGAATCGAATGGCAGGTTCCACCTTTCAGCTGGAGCCCAAGGTTTTATTTTTCATTTGAGAATTCAGAACAGAAAGAACTTCCCGGTAGTTGTTATTTTGTGAAAAGACACAGTAAGCTGAATTTACTGAAACAAGAGCTCACTAGAATTCAGAGCTTGCTGTGTGCGTGTGACGAGCCGTGGCGTCTGGCTCACCGTTAGTACTTTAATTTCCTTTTTCAGGGTATAAACCAGCAAGGTGCTTTGACAAGAGGCTTGTTAAATGGAGAATGGAACTAGATTATTCACTGTGGTGATTATGTCAACCAAAACCAGAATCTAGCTTTCAAGTAGTTGGATGGCTCCCTCAGATCTTTATAGCCAGAAGACTGGGTAATCAGGTGATATATATTGTTAACCTGAGCCACAATTTTACCCAATGCTGGTGATGCAAGCCACAGTGGCTGAATCCCTGGTATATGTGTGGGCACACAATTGTTGCGTGGGTCTTTTATCAAGACCTTCAAGTTTAATCTAATCATGGTCACACTGGAGAAGGTCACCTGGGTAGAGGAGAGTGACTGACTGATTATTCAGGGCATTCGTATTACATCATCTGGACCTGACAGTTTCTTAGTTAGTCCATAAGAACAATAGCTCCTATTATTTAAGTTGCACCTATTTGCCAGACACTGGGCTAGGTGCTGTGTATGCATTGTTCCAATTAATCTTCACAAGAATTGAAGAGGTGAATTGAATTAACACCATAGTAAAGATGAAAAAACTAGGCAGGTAAGTACCTGTCCTGAGATTTTATCTCTGGCAAGTGCAAATATATGAATTATATACACATCTGACTGTTTTAAAACCCATGCTTTTTCTTTCCCCCGTTCGACATGCTCTCGCCACTAAAACTCTTCAAGAGCTAACTAACTTCTTGAGGGATCTAGAGAATATTGTGTTGGAACAGAGTGTTAAATATTAAATTCTGATTCTTAGTTTCTACAGATTTCAAAAAGTCAAAAGCTGCTCTGATACGTTTCATATTTAGCAAAAAAAAAAAAAAAAAAGGGAATCCACTATGCTGATTTAAGTATCTTTAAACAGTTTTCGTATTAGTTTTATTGATCAGTGGCACCTTAACTCCCTCTGAGTTAAGTCCTGATCATTTGGCTGGTGAATACTTAATGCCTTCAGAAACCTAGTGTGTTCTGGTGACAGGAACCCGGAGACTTGGTCTCCAGCCTGGTTTTCTCACTAATTTTGCAGTTATGACATTGGACAAGGCAGTTTAGCAATCTTTGCTGTAGTATTATTGTGCATTAAAGGGACATAATACCTGCATCAGTTAGGAATGTTTTCAGATACATATAACAAAATACATGATTAACAGTAGCTACAAACATAAGGGTATTAATAAAAGTTTGAAGGTGGGAGGACTAGGGCTAAATCAGCAACAATGGTGTCAAGAACCTATTCTTTTATATCATTCTATTCCTCTTCTTGCTGGGTTTTCCAGCTTATGGTTTTATATCAGCCTATTCTTTTATATTGTTCATTCCTCTTCTTGCTGGTTTTCCTCATGCTTATGATTGCAAAATGGCTGCTGCAGCTCTAGCATCACTCCCATACCCAACCAAGGAAGACTAAAGAAGGAGCAAAGCGAATAAGCTCTTCTTTGCATCTATTCTTTTCATCAATAAGCAAGCTAGGTTTCTCAGAAATGCCATAATACACTTCCCTTTACAGCCTCATTATCTAAAATCGAATCACTTGGTCACCCACCCATAACTAAGAGGCCAAGAAAGCAAAGTGTCTGGCTTTTCAATCTTCATATTTATATAGTCCGTTTTCATACTGCTATAAAGAAATACCCAAGACTGGGTAATTTAAAGGAAAGAAGTTTAATTGACTCACAGTTCTGCATGGCTGGGGAGGGCTCAGGAAACTTACACTCATAGTGGATGGGGAAGCAGGTGCCTTCTTTACAAGGTGGCAGGAGAGTATGTGAAGGAGGAACTTTCAAACACTTATAAAACCATCAGATCCTGTGATAACTCACTATCATGAGAACAACATGGAGGAAACTGACCCCATGATCCAATCACTTCCCTCCCTTGACATATGGGGATTACAATTCAAGATGAGATTTGGGTGGGGACACAGAGCCAAACCATATCATTATTAGAAGACAAAAAGAAAAAATAGAGCTCAGAATGGCTTTTGTAAGCAATTATTAGTGTCTTGCATAGTGATAACCTCAAATGATTTGTTTCATCAAAGTAAGATTTCTTGCTTTGTCCCTCTCCATCCTAAATAGTTTGTAACCAGTATTTTAAATGACATAGTGTATATCCAACAATATTTATCTGTGCAATGTCTCATATATGTGAAATACAACAATGCAGAGTAAATACTGTAGGTATTCAATCAATGAATTATTTCAATACCAAAAAACCGCCCACCTGTGATCTAATGTACAATATGTTTTTTGTGTCATTTAAAGTAACCTCTTATATTAGTGTTCTCTTTCTTTTTCAATAGCTAGTAAACTAGACACAAGCTATGAATAAATAATGCCAGAACATCTGGATGAAAAGAAAAAAAATCAATTATCTGGATGTTTTGTCTACGTAACATCAAAACATGTAGCATTGTATAGACAAAACATCCAGATGATTGAATATTTTACTTTTCATGCAGACAGCTTGTTGCCATGTAGACAAAAAGCACTGCCAAGTTAGGGACATAAAAAGAAAAAACAGGGCATAGCAAAACTTGCCTAATTTGTAGACCGTGAGTATTTGTCCTAAACGTGATATAGGAAAAGACGACAATTAATGAGATACTGTATCCAATTAATTTCAAAACTTCTTGGCTATATTGGAAGAACTTTCTTACCACAAGTTCATAGTGATCGTAATAAATGGTGGTTCCATTATGAAATGCTTAATAGGAAACACACAAACCACTTTTTATTTGACACTGTGTTTATTTTATAGATGAAGCAATGCATTCACAGAAAAAAAAAAACAGTGATTACTAAAACACTCCTTTATCTCCTGGAACAACAAATATAGAAACTAATTCTAGTTGTCTAAACATAAGTCAACTTAGTAGCCAGGACTCAAGTATAAATTCAATAATTATTTACCTTTGGTGAGCCAGGGGCTGTGCTAATGTATTTTTCATATGCAGGCTATCATCCAATTTATTCTACATTAATTCTGTTCAGTAGCAATTGTTATTCCCATTTTATAAATAGGAAGCTGGGTTTTAAAAATGAAGGAAAATCTCCAAAATCCCACAGTTCGATTATTTCAATAAATAACATGATGCTTGAAAAATAATTTTTTAAATCAGTGTGTTTTGTTTTGTGTAAAATAAAGGAGTGAGGTCTGAGAACACCAAATTTTCAAAACTTGGGTGTCATGACTTGTAAATGCTAGGAATTATGGCTAAATGCACTATGTCATGCTACTTTTATTTCATCTGTTGTTAACACTATTTTCCTATGTTCCAAGTCTAATATATCTAATTGAGAACTAAACTTGATGAAGAGGGATATCAGTGTTTGACAGGAATCTTTATTTTATCCTTGAAGAAACTGACAGTGCAATGTCCTTAAATACCATCTGAAAAGCCTCACTGAGATAACAAATTACGTTTTATGACTCACTATTCTCATTCCATCTTAAGCAGAAAGTTCCAAATTCAATACACAGAGGTCACTAAGGGAACATTCTGTCTTCAAATCATCCTTATGTAGTCTCTCAGTTTTCTGGCAGTGGTTTAGCTGGATGGGATCATAAGTGAGAGCCAGGGGAACCTTTTGTTTTGAGCCAAAAGTTGTGCGATCAGGACCCAGTGTTCTTGGATTTTCCAGGTCAAAAGGCTGTCAAAAAATGTCATTGGGGAATGGGTCTGAGGAGGAAAGCAGTAGAATGTTCAACTTGAGCCACAGTGGTGCATTACTCAGTGTAAAGAAATGCATCATTGTGATAAGCTCTGAGCCCTGCAGCCACTTTGTGAAATACAGAATTGTTCTGATTTATGAATATGATATTATGGCTGCAGCAAGTCTCTCACCTACACATGAAGTTTTAGACCAGGAGTATCAAGGTAAACCTCACCATGCTGCCCATTTATAAATTTCCTGCTGTTAAAATCCAACACCCTTCATGAACACATTGTATTTTAAACCTGAATTGGTTCTGGAACGAGATAGTGGTAATGGTGGCACAACCTTGAGAAGATACAAAAAAAAAAAAAAAATGGATTTAATGAATGCATCCTTTAATGGATGAATTTTATGGTATGCGAGTTATATCTTAATTTAAAGAGAACTGTATTGGACTAATTCAAATGGCTTCTTGAACATCAAATGGATCTTACAAAGCTAT